GTGGCATTGCAAAGGCATTGGTGCTGAGAAGGTTTTTACTTACCACAGAGAACAAGTGCATTACCACTGCACGCCGTTCAGATTATGAGTTACTGCACGTCTCTCTCTTTTTATAGTTACCTCAAGTACTGGCGTTTTTGAGTTCCAGCTAGTTACTGCTTCGTGTAGGAGGCATTTCAAAGGTCGACAACTAGTAGCAAGACTATTTCATTTAAGCATAAAGTTTATTGAACCCACTGTAGAGCACAGATCTTTGAAGTCGCACCCCTCCAAGGAAATTTTGCCGAAGTTAAGAAAAAATACAATATGATTACAGTCGGAAATACTATGAAATCACTTGTCCAATTACTGCTTCACTAAAGCGAAAAATGTCGCCAAGTTTGCCAGATATATCATGGTTCAATGAAAACTAATCGAAATCTCAACAAACTAGTCTTTCTAATACAAAACATGCATCGCAAGGTAACTGAAGTTCTGTCTAAAGTGGAGAGGTACCGATTCTGCATTATGCATAGTATTGCTTGGAGTTAGCAAAATATTTCCATTTCTTTACGCGATTCCCTCATCTCCTCCCATAGTCCTGCTGCACAGCGCCACAGTTGCGTTTCAAATCCCTCTTGAGTAAACGAGACGCTACCACGCTTCCGTAATAGGTGACCGGTACCGAGCTTACCAAGCTGGACAAAAAGGCTGAGCTACGATCACGAACCCATACAAGGCACCGCATCGGATTTCACAGAAAACAACCGGGAAATCTATAGCCCATCCCGGGTGCGACAGATGTAAAACTGCAACTGCGAAACTTCTATTCAGAGGAATGAAATAGATCAAAAAATTGCAGATTAAACTGTGAAAAAAGGTGCAATGAGTCTAAAGGGTTGAGTTCTTCGGCGCTAATCAGATTCTCTAAGGGATGCGCCACGGCATACTGCTTCTACTCAAAATTGCTATGGCGATTGGATGCGTATGTGATCTATATGGCCAGCCGATGTTCAAGTTGGTGCTTTTATCCTCCTTTTCAACAAATAACCCACTCCGGAAGAATGAAAGGCTCGGTTGCGCTAAGCGTATATCACTCCGGGAATCGAGCCCGTGACCGTGTGATCGTACGCCACTTGCCACTACACCACCTCCGCCAAGCTCTGAATATAGCTGTCCAAAAATATCTACACAAAAGGGAAAATTAACTCGATATGCTATCCTAGATCGTTTTTCTCTGTTTAAAATATGTAGCTGCAAGCGTAGTCGGTGTTTCTCCATCCTTCAACCTGCCGGAACTGATGGTAGGTTCAGAAGTCAGTTGGCGAAGCTTTTGAGGAGAGGGGCAACTATGTCGTTTCGAAAGCTGTTTAATTGGTTTTTTCCGTAATTTTTAACATACTATAGCCCTTCATCCAAGTCATACGCAAAAGCCAGTCATGCAGAATACTCTGGAATTTTTCAATCACTAGAGCTGTTATCCAATCGGCCCTTTTTTCCCAGCGCGGGCATCACTCAACGCTGCTCGGAGAAGAGAAAAAATTCATTTTGTCATGGGTTTCATGATAAAACCTCGCCCTAATCGAGGTCATAGCAAGCTGTCTATATGAACGGGACCTTCGAATCCCTTCTTTCCATTCCTATTCGCAAATATGCGAGATTGCCGCTTATTGTGTTTAATTTCGGCTATTTTCCTAGGTGTGATGATCTCGGGTCGCCTCACACTTCAAATAGCCCGTCGGCCCGTCAATAGCCTCACGAATCCGTCGTCTAGGCCTCACGTAACCCCACGATCTCTACGGGATCTCCAAACGCGGCTTGTTATTCGATCTTCACCCAAACGATTGTTCTAGTGACGGATTCTATCAGATTCTCTAATAGCCGTAGCTCTTTTGTGAGATCTCTACCCACTGCGGCTCCACCCCTCTTAGCCGCGACCTCTCCACGCCTACAAAAGCTTTGCTCGACCCAACCCCTGCATGCACTTCACTACGGCTGCACAATGAGGTGAGCCACTCCTTAAAAGCCACTTTGTCAATTAATTTTGCTTTATCGATTTAAGTGAATAACCAATGATAACGAGTGATACAATTCAATGATACAATGTCATTCCAGTTCAAATCGAGGAGGTGATGAGTCTGTCTCGAAGGGTTGCCCTGTCCATTACAGAGGGTTTTCTATTACCTTAACCTTGAGGCACAACAACTTTTCTAGTGTTGGTTACAGTGCTTCTCCGAAAAGGGACTGAAGGGGTCTAGAAGGTCCATAGCATTCCAGATAACTAAAACCACAGCGAACATTCCCTCTGGTCATGTAATTCCCAAAAATTCTTCGCACCAAATTGTAGTTACCGTAAACCAGACGAGTCGTTGCACTGATAAACACCTTTTGCGCTAGGAGCACTCAGTCCTACCTACTTCCCAGATCCTAGTCGTCGTCAGGATAGTCTCATTCCCTTCTGTTTATTTGCCAGTTTTTGAGGAGTTGCTGGGAAGATTGAAAAGTGAGCGAAAGTTCCCAAAGCGAATGACCTGCGGGGGAAAAGTTGAATTGAGGAGGAGAGGAGACATGTTTGTACCTTCCTAGTAGAAACTTTTTTGACTCTTTTCCATTATTGAAAGAATGGAAACATCACTATAGAAGAGCTGTCTCGTTCTTTCCCAGTCACGTAATCAGTGGTTACCCATTGGCTATTAATACCCTCGGTACAACATTGTGGACTCAATAAAAGGTCCTTTCTATGTGGGTAAACATTGAGCTGAACACTTGCTAATCTATTGAATAGGTCTCTACGCATACAAAGACCCCCTCTCGTTCTTAACTGAAACTCAAATACGGAGAGATCACCTTTCAGTGCAGGCAGGAAACTCCACTGAGAGGAGACCGAGATTCTCAAATGGTTCATCCATTTATTTCGGCAGCCTGTAGTGCAGCTGTGACAGCGTTCCTTGAAGAGCTAGTTTATTGGCTATTGAAATGGAATTGTAGAGAGATTGGGTCAGAATGAATTTTCTGTGCTCCTTTGTAAACGGTGGTCACTTAAGCAAGTAGCTCGGGGGCACCTGCCTGAGTCCTCTGATCACGAGCTGCTTTGCCTGAGAAGTCGTTCCGGTGATCTGGCACCACCTGCCCACTCGAATAGATGTCCACCGTCCTTTTCACTGGCTTGTTAGCTCCGTTGACCGGTCTTGCCGTCGTTTCACCCGTGAAGTGACATGGGAAAAGATCGGAGGATGCAAGAACTCCTCGAGACTTAATCCCATCCTCGAGTTTGTAGTGACGTTGCTCAAAGTCAGCAAAGGGAGCGTAGAGACAGAAAGACTGGGCCAGAGAGGAATAGTATGTGAACCAAGGTCGAATAAGCAGGATTCAGCTACTCAGGACCATCTTTTCTCAAAAATTTTACTCCCATTGAGGGTTGCATTTGGGACCCCTTGTGAAAAATCTCCCAATCTATTCTCGCTGAAATCCAAGGAGCCGTAGATCTTTTTCCGGCCGACCTCTGAATAGTTCGATGAAGATCTAAACAGCTAACGGTGCTTCTAACAATCAAATATACTTGTCGATCGTTGTTCGCTGGATGTTTTTCATTTTCTACGTGTATCCACGAGGTACGCTGGGCTTATTTGTCTACTAATCAACGTCACGGTCCGAAAAGTGGCCGGTGCTCGAACGGACTCACGCGGCTTCCCTAAGAAAATCGCAAAAATAGCATTCCATCAATTTTTGCGGATTTCACTTTTCGGATTCCCTTTTATAGCCCAGCCTCAGTTTGAAGCGGTGAAAATGATGCTTGGGCGTGGGATACATAGTTTCGAAGAAAAACGTAACTATCCGGAATCACAAGTAGGTGGGTCATTCAACTGGGAGAAGGAGAAGGGGGACAAGAGAGGGTGATGGGTTCCGATGAACAGCCAAATGCTATCAATTGCTTAACACTTGCATTTATAACACAACCAAATCGACAGTACATAATACTTTGGTAGCTTGAGAAAATCAAACCTGAATGGTATCTAACCGTTCTCAGTGGTGAAATGAGCAGTAGTTCATGGCCTGCATAACCCCTCTGGGGCTCCCGAAAGATATGGCTTGACCACGATATCTTTTCCAGACTGATCCTGCTTGTATCTCTTCCTCTCCTTGCATTCTCACAACAATACCCACCTCAACAAAGAGCAAATGGTTTGTTGCTTTGAATCTATCCATGATGGGGCTCAAGTGTGCTGAATCTTCGATTGCAGAAGTAAATAACGATGTAGTACCCGCTTGGTATCAGACGCCTCAAAAGCAGTTGCCAAATGGCTACGGTTTTGGCAGAAATCAGCCAGCCATGTATGAGAGAGCACCGTCCACTATGAATTATCAAAGGTAAGTTATTTGTAAGTTTCAAAAAAAGTTGTGAACAAGGCTAGAACAATTTTGTGGATATTCCGACATCAACTCAGATCATGTATCATCAGAGCACAAAGCTGAAGCTACGGTTTATCGGGTCTCTATTGATAACATCTGGAGCATATCCAATGTTAGATGAAGGGCATGGTGTGTGTGGTAAAGCACTCTGGGAGAGTAATCAGTCCTTTAGAAACAGCCACTACACATAATGTGCTGTGTAGCCATTGAAACCACTAAGAAGTTCACTTCTAAAAGAACATTCTCTCTGAAGAGACTTAGAAATGGCGTTGGAATTTTGTGTTCGGAGTGTTGTGCTGAAGGTCCGATCAAACTAAGCATGAAGGGAGCCCTGATACCATTGATATGAAGAATTAGACACCATCTATACATAATGCAGAACAGTTTGACCGGCTTGCCATTCGAGTCAGACGCTAATCGTCCGGGAGACGATGAAAGTATAAACACGAGGCTCCACTTATAGGTAACATGCAAGACAAGAAAGGATTACAGCATCGAACCTTTGGGGCTCCCAATGAAAAAAAGAGTGTTCGGGTAGAAACATGATTGAATCTGCTTCTGGTCTGTCAAACATCATGTTCACAAAGCTTTTTCTGAATTTTAATGCTGCCCAATTTCAGCTACCCGACGTTCGGTACCAATCGACCAGCTTATCCGGAATTGATGGGTTCAGCTCAGCCAGCTCGACGATATCCAATGGGAGGTCAGGATGTAAGTGGCTCGAGATCACATCCCATTTTCAGTTCTCTCAGTTTTACACCCCCTAACCCGTCACGGCTTATCGACTTAATGCCGCTAACTCCCCGAATACTTCATCTTCTCTGGGCACCCATCCAGCAATCTGGGAACCATTTTGATCAATGGTATACCCACGCAAAATCGTTATTCTATGTGCAGAAACTGATCGGTTGGAAACGTCTTGCCGAAATGTTCTGGTGAAATAGGTTTCCTGCAAATTAGTTGTTACTACCTTAATGTTTGGGTCTTGTTCATCAGTTGCTTCTATCAGTATTTCCGCTGAGACCGGTTCGCCTCTACAGGGTTTCTATGCATGTGATTTGTGACTATTCTACTACCTCAGAGAAAAGATGTACTTCGTTTTCTTTTCGGGAACCACTTCTAAAGCAGTTTATCAGAGAAGTTAATGACCTACACGATAATTGTTTACTTTACGATGATGCTCTGATAAACTGTTTCTATCGGTGTTGTGCCACGTCTCTGAATGGCTTCATCTTTTTTCTAAGCCCCTTCAGTGTTAAGAAAAAGATTGGTATTAGAATAGATACAAAAC